AGGCTTTGCTATTGAATGGCCAAAGAGACCGGGGAGGGCTGCAGATCTGCGACAAGAGGAAAAAAAGCCTTGCAGCCGGATTCCGGGAAGATTTACTAGTCTCAAGTAAGTCGTGGAAGGGGGCTAAGCTTTTCAGTCTTGGAAGAGAGAGATGCAGCTATCGAGGGTTTTTGAATGGGGAACTGGTATGAAATCGTTCTAAAGTGGAATACATAGTTTAAAATGTCTGTTCCATGTCGACAAAGGTCGGACCGCCTTGTGGCTCCTCCTGCATCTCTCTGCTGCCCTCCTGTTGGGGCGCCTGGGGGCAGAATTAGGCACGGGGAGACTGTAGGTTAGAATGGGTCAAATCCTTCATCACGGATCGGACCCAAAGAATGGCCACTAGAGATCAATTATCCGTTTGAGACGCGCAGGGTATCTCCCCCCTCCCCCCATTCTTCAGTCATTATGTCAAGCCCTAAGGCCAAATCATTTGTAGTTTTGGCTTGGCTGTCATCCATCAGAAGGTGATAAACAGCTCCATCCATCCATCCATCCATCCGTCCGTCCATCCATCCATCCATCCTTATCCAAATCCCCTGGTGATGCCATAGAGATCCTTAATCGCTGCCTGGCTGCCCTGGTTCAATGGCTAAGAATGAACAAACTGAAATGAAATCCTGGAAAGACAGAAGTGCTGCTGGCAGGAAAAGGTGGAGGTCTTGAGGGACATTGAGCTCCCCTCTTTCCGTGGGGCTCAGCTGACCCTTGCAGACTCACTGAAGAGCCTCGGGGGTTTTACTGAGCCCAAGAGGATTGCTAGAGAAGCAAGTTAATGCGGTTGCAAAAAAGGTTGTTTCCCAACTCAGCCTAGCCTGACCTTGATACGGCTGATCAGACCACCTGGAATCATGTCGTGGTGACATGAGACTAGACTACTGTAATGCACTGTGCATAGGTCTTCCCTAGAAATCAATTTGGGAACTCCAGTTGGTACAGAATATACTGCAGTTCAGGTACTATCGGCAACTAGATGGAGCATGCGTATTACTACCATTCTGCGGTCACTCTGCTGGCTGCACTTCAGTAACCAGGCTGAATTTAAAGGACCGGCTATATACCATATGGAGCCCTTCATGGCCTTGGAGCTTCCTACCTGCAAGACAGTCTCTCCTATGTCCTGCCCTGACAGCTTTGCTCATCTGAGCAGGGACTTCGCTGGTGCCAACCGGCAAAAGGGCAGAATCAACAACTGTCCACACATGACTCTCCTACTTTAAGACCCCCACATTGTGGAATGGCCTGCCTGAGGTCAAAAAGGTTCCCTCTCTCCTGGCTACATAAAATTGAATAATTCCAAAAGGGCTTTTCTACACAGGGCATAGGGTGGCACTATACAAAATGATTCACAAAGTCACTTGGAGAAATTATTAGGGACTGCGGTCTATATTAATGTGTATTTGTTGTTGTTGCTCTCAAGTCACAGCTGACTTCAAGACTAGAGGTGTTCCGAGGTAGTTTGCCTACCTCGCCGTCACAACCCTGGTATTCCTTGGAGGTCTCCCATCCAAATATTAGCCAGGGCTGACCCTGCGTAGCTTCCAAGATCTCATGAGATCTGGCCAACCTGGACAGTTCAGATCAGAGTACTAATGTGTATAGCTTATTGTAAGTAGGACCCTATTATGTAATTTTTGTACTGCTGTAAGTTGTATCCTACTATGCAATTTTGCACCGTTTAGTGGTTCATGGGAACATTTATGCTTTCCTTCAAGACTGTTTTTCAGATTGCTGGTTGGTTCTACAACCCAAATTGTATTTCATAGTTTATTCAATGTGCCATCCCATTGACTGTATTGAGTCACTCTGGATCATCTGCCTTGACTCCCAGTGAGAGAGGCGGACTTTAATAACGTAACTAAACTCATAATACATACATAAATGTTTTAATTTCTTGTCAGCTTGGTGGCCCCTGTGGGGACAGAAAGGCAGGATCTAAATGTTGTAAATCAAAATAACTGGAAATAAATTATCAGCCACGGTGCTTGTAGGGAGGCCGAGAAAGGACTCCCAGGCATGATCACCTGAGATGAATCATACAAGCCCATTGGCTGCTCCACATCATTCGGGGCAGTGCTTCACGCCCCGTCTGCCATTTTCCTGGGGGTTCCTTGCCTCCCCCTGTTCATCCAGGCACCCCCTCTGCCCTGACCTGGAGGGGCTTCATGCTCCTCTGCCCCTCCCCCTCCCACCAAGTACTTGGACTGAGCTATTGCCAAATGCATCCAGCCTATGGAAGAGGTATCTGCAATGGTTAAGCCCTTACCAGTCGCTTTGTCCTGGGCTCCAGTTTATGTTGAGAGCAGCTCCTTTTCTGATACGTGGTCATGAGATCATAACATCGGCAACAGATTTTTAAAGAGCCAAAGAAAGACGGTTTACTTTCTTGAGGGACCAAACGGGCATACCTAAAAAAGCCTGGCATGTAATATAGCACAATGAAATGAGTCCTGATTGGCAGACTACACGAGGACTCTCCATCTGATTCATTGGGGTAATCTTTAGGTGTCTTCGGACCAAGGTCAGTGATGTAGCTCCATCCCTTTTGGTTTCTATCTGCCTTTTTGATATATTTTCCTTTCTCTCTTCATAGCTACATGAGTAAGGGCATCTTCCCACAGTCAGAGGCAACCCAAGCAAATAGGAAAGAGATGGAAGAGGAGGACCCAGAAAGACCTGGAACTGGCAAGAGATCAAGGAAAGGTCCCCATCCCATCCAAGCAGGAAGTGGTGCTGAATTTTGGGAAAGAGCTGTGACACAGCCCATGGTTCAAGACACTATGACCACAGAAGTACGCAGCCGATGCTTCCGGCAGTTCCGCTACCATGAGGCTGATGGGCCCCGAGAGGTTTGCAGCCAGCTCCATGGACTTTGCAACCAATGGCTGAAGCCAGAGAGACGCACCAAGAAGCAGATCCTGGACCTGGTGATTCTGGAGCAGTTCCTGGCCATCTTGCCTCAGAAACTGCAGTGCTGGGTCAGAGAATGTGGGCCGGAGACCAGTTCCCAGGCAGTGGCCCTGGCAGAAGGTTTCCTCTTGAGTCAGGCAGAGCAGAAGAGGCAGGCGGAGCAGGTGAGGGGGCTTCCTTCGCTTGGTTCCAATCAGGACCATATGCTAAGGCTTCCAGGCCAGATATTTCTGCCTCTAGAGAATTTGCTTGGCTGGGAAGAAAACCCAACTCTGATTCTAGCCCCTGTGGTTGAACCAGCTATGCCGGTTGATGCAGGGGTGAGGAGTCTGGGAGTGGGGGAAGATCTGTCTCCTCGGCCTGTTCTATTCCTTCTCTTACTTGTCTCCTTTTCTGCTCTTTCAGATGTGGGTGCCAGCAGTGAAGATGGAAGCAGAGTTCTCTGAGGAGGAAGGGTCTCCTTTGGAGGAAGGGCAGAGGGCTCAGGCCCAGGAAGGTACCCGAGATGCCCTCTCAGGTGGTAAGGCTGTTTTGCTGCCAGATGGGATTGGGGCGCACCGCGAAGTTGGGCAGAAAGTTTAGGACAGGAGAAAAAGGAAATACTTCTACACACAACACAGTGTTACCCGAACTGGACCGGAACCGGTTCTGGGAGCCCAAATTGATTCTGAGTACAGAGGCGGGCGGTGCGTGAGTTCAAAACCCGTGTATACAGAGGTCGGATTTTGGCGCGTGTTGAAAGCCCGCTATTTCCCAGGGGTCAGACAACAGCTAGGGTTAAAATCAAGTTGTCTTTACTAAAGCAATTGTTCAGACATACCAAAACAGATGCGTACAAATTCACACAAGCTCCTTAGTTACAATAGGGTAAGAAAACAATAAGCATGAAAAACAACAAAAGCATTAAACAAAGGGGATGACTCTGAGGCATACGATTATACTCATCTGAGATCCAACTGAGAGAAGAAATCTCCTCTTCCAAGACGGGCAGCCAAGGCAACAGCGGGTGGACTCTAGACACACAAAGACTGGGACCAGCCACAGCCACGTGTGCGCTCCCTGGTCGCGACTCCGGGGAACTTAAGAGTTACCTGCGGCACCTTAGTGCAAACTAGGGGTAAGGGTGAGCTAGCCAGAGAACAAAGGCTTGTTTCTCCTTTTAAGAGCTGCCTTTTGGGGCGGTCTCTGTCTATCATAAAACTTGGGGTATGTCCTCTACTCCTAAGCTATAGGTTGGGCAGGGGTGACGTCCTACAAGAGGGGTTGTGGGTAATATGCAGATTCTTCTATCCTACATCAAAGCGGGGCCATCTGGTGGTGGTTGCACCTCCGTTTCCCTGGCAACTTCTTTGCTGCTGCCAGATGTTGGGTACCCAAGCCATAAAGGATGTTGTCTTTTCGATGCCAAGCCAGATAACGAGGTGGAATTGTACTCCTTCCCACCGTCCATCACTGCTGGTAGGATCTGTTGCTCATCCAAGCGTCTCCATGTGTACCCCAAATGGTGACCTCGTTGGTACTGGGGCACATTGCAACATTCCAGAGCAGGCATCTGCTTTTGACCAGGGTGCAGTGGAAATTTCCATGGCAGGCAAAATACTTGGTGGCAGGCATCCCTGTCAGGCCCCCACCGTGGGCAGCCTCGGGGTGCAAGGCCTGCCATCGCAGTTCATAGCAGCACACACACACACACACACACATAGCAATGAGCCTCTGGCTCTCAAAGGCACAGATACTTATACATATAAGCAACATATCATAAACACAACACAGGCAATATGCAAATGCAAATGGTCACATGGTAACAACAGAGTTCAGTTCTGGGGTTCACTGCCATTGCATGTAGTGATGGCCAGTCCCTTGAAAGGCAGTTAGACAGAATCATAGAAGGCAATTCCATTCTTATTCACATTTACTAAAATGTTTCTGTGTCACCTTCCCTTTGTTAGTGGGACTCAAAGCAGCTCAGAAAAGGAAAGGCAGACCGATCTGGGTGCAGCTCTTGGCCATGGCAAATGAATGGAACCTCCACGTTCCGGGGCAGCCTACCTCTGAAAGCGCCTTGCTAGTGTCTCTGTGCCCCTGATGAAAGGCTTTCCAGGAGCATCCGATGGGCCACAGTCAGAAAGAGGAAAGTGGACTGCAGATGCCAGGCTGCAGCCTGGAATCCCTGTAATGTTTGGGGGTGGTGTGTGGAGTGGATGGGATGTGATGTCAGGGCGTCAGCAGACACTCCGGAAACCCATCGATAATACCCTGGAGTTTTCATGTATGCCGAAGTCACGTCTTGGCTTTCGGAGTACCTGGTGCTTCTCTTTTGCCTCTCCCACAATTTACTAAAAATCCTTACAAACGTTGTAGACAAGGTTCCCTCTAAGCTGCGGAGTCCTGTGAGCAAAAATCCTACTTTGTGAGCGACCGGCATTAAAGTGGTGAGCCGGCGATTTGGCTGCTGCAGAAATTAGTTTGCTCTGGAGCCCTCCTTCCTGAGCTAAGGCAAAAAGCTGTGAGCCGGAGGCTGAAAAACTGTGAGCCAGCTCACCCTAACACAGCTTAGAGGGAACACTGGTTGTAGAGTGTGCCTGTGGCAAGGTTTCACAGCCCCAGGAAGGAGGGTGCACAGAGCAGGATTCAAACAAGCAAACAAACAAGGGAGTCTCGCCTAACAACCTTTCTTCCTCCTTTGTCTCCGTCACAGGGAGTGGACAGGTGGTATCCAGCCATCGTCTTGGCAGAGGTGTGGAAACAGCTGCTTCGCCTCCAGTCCAGGTAGAGGAGACGAGTGGGGGGACAGCCTGGGTTCACCCTCCTTTCATGGAGTGGCTTTTGCTTCTGCAGTTGCTGCTGAGGTGTCCCTCTGCCCCTGCCAAACTCTGCATCCTGCTCCCTCCCAGTGTGCCTTCTCTGCCTGGCATGATCTCTGAGAGGGGAATCTACTTTTTCTTCCAGCGTCCCTTTTCCTTTGAGGAGGTGGCCGTGTATTTCACCGAGGCAGAGTGGGCATTACTGGATCCAGGCCAAAGAGCTCTCTACAGGGAAGTCATGCTGGAGAACTACGGGAGCGTGGCCTTTCTGGGTAAGGATCTTTCGCAGGTGCCAAAGGTGCAAATTGCTGCCATTGGGATGAGGCATGAATCAAAATATTGGACACGAATACATCATTTTCAGGCCTGCCCCACTACTTGTCTCCTGGGTATCAAGGAGTTGGGGGTGGCAGTGAAAGAGATGTTCCGCATGGCCTGGAGAGCGACCCAACCCGCTTGGCTGGCCCAGGGGAAACTGAGGCCAGTGTTGTGGCCATCACTGGAGCCAGAGAGGGTGTCCTGGTCTGGAATCTAGGAAGGGCTAAGAGAAAGGGGTCTGTGACCCAAATCACTCCTGCAGGGCCCCCCCCCCCATAGCTAGCAAAAGCGTCCTCCTGCTAGCAGAGAGAAAACACATGTATTGTGGGGTATTAATTCCCAGGATCACAAACCTATGTCTACCAGGGTCGAGATACAGACCAACACTCAAAAGAAATGAAGGGTATCAATGCTTCTTAAACAAGAAGATTCAATAAGTCAACAGGAAGAGAACCAGGTTAGGTCAGTTAAATAAAAACAGAGGTGCTACAGAAAGGAAATAAGTGCACACATGAAGTACAACCACAGTTTAAACCCTTTCCCTCGCAAGCTTCCTGCTACAAAGGGAGAAAATAAAAGGGAAGAATCGGAGGCGTACAAGCTTTCTTCCTGAAGACAGCCAGGCAGCTCTGGAGGAGCACAGCAGAAGAGGGTGGGAAAGTAGAGAAGCCAGCCACACAGTTGGGGGAAGCCAACCATACAGGCTGGTGTCCAAAACCTGCTACAAATTGGACGGACTGAGGGATCACTTTTATACATTTTTGCTAAGGTGAAGGAGGAGAAAAAGCGTTGGAAGTGAGATGCAGGAGTGATGCAAAGTCCATCTCTCTGGGATTGGCGCTTGCATGTGTGTGGGGTGGGGGGGTACAGGCAATCCTCTGCTGGGGACTGCTGGTGGCCAGTGCTGCCACCGTATTCTCACCCCCTCATGCGGCAGCTGTGTTTTTGGCCCACGGGAGGTGTTCTTCGGCAGTTTCTTCCACACGTTGGGGGCCTAGTCCTTCCATCGAGCATGCAATTCAGTGGCTGGGCCTCCTTCCCCCATGGACCACGCAGCAGCCTTCAGCCGTGGGCAGCTGCTGCCTCGTGGTGCCCACTCCCCCATCAGATGATCCTTTGGCCTGGGGCAGCTACCACTGCATGGGGTGATACGGCTTGCCGATGATCTCTAGTTTGAGCCCCCAGCATGGATCACCTGACAGCGTTGGCTGAAGGCAGCCGCTGCCACACAGGTGTCTCCGGCTTATCAGGCTTTGCTTGGCCTGGGTCTTGCCGTGGATGTGGCCTTTGACCTGTGCCACCTCCCCGCTTCTGCAGACAGTGAGCTTAGTTCAGCTTGCCTTCCCAGTCCCTTTCCATGGTGGCTCAGGGGCATGGGGGAGCTTGCAACACCCAGCCAATTTGCGTTTTTACCCTGGGCTCACAGCATTGGCGGAGGGAGTGGGGTGGGGATGGGGTTTGCCCCTCCTCAAGGCAGTGTGGGATCATCTGCCCAACGCTGCACCACTGGCTCTCCAGTCCCCCCCCCCATGCCCACGGGGCCTTGCTGTGAGGACACACCAATGCAAAGCTTATTAGCTTCGACAGGAAGCAAAGAGTAGGACTCAACGGACAGTTCTCCCAAAGGAGTGAAGTAAGCAGTGGGGTCCCACAAGGATCGTTATTGGGGCTGGTACTATTCAATTTATTCACCAGTGATCTGGAATGAGGGGTGATTAGTGTAGTGGCCAAGTTTGCAGATGACACCAAATTATTCAGGATGGTGGAAGCCAAGGCTGTGAGGAGCTCCAAGGGGACCTCCACAAACTGGGTGAGTGGGTGACAATGTGGCCAATGCAGTTCAGTGTTGGTAAGTGTAAGGTGATGCTCATTGTTGCGGGGAAATCCCAATTTAAAATATAGGCTGATGGAGTCTAAACTGCTGAGGCTGGGGGGGGGGGGAGAGATCTTGCAGTCGTAGTGGAGAACTCAATGAAAGTGTCAAGCCAGTGTGCTGCAGTGGTGAAAAGGGCAAAGTCTGTGTTAAAGGTAAAGGTAAAGGTTCCCTTGCTCGAAAGCCAGTCGAGTCCGACTCTAGGGTTGCTGTGCTCATCTCCGTTTCCAAGCCGAAGAGCCAGCGCTGTCCAAAGATGTTCAAAAGGGAATTAGATAGGCATATGGAGCAGAGGTCCATCAGTGGCTATTAGCCACAAGGTATAGATAGGGACTCTGGGGCAAGTGATGCTCTGTCATCTTGGTGCTTTGGGGGGTCAACAGTGGGATGGCTTCTAATGTCCTGGCCCCACTGGTGGACCTCCTGATGGCACTGGTATTTCTGGCCACTGTGTGATACAGAGTGTTGGACTGGATGGGCCTTTGGCCTGATCCAACATTGGCATCTCTTATGTTCTTATGTTCTTATGTTTCCGTGGTCATGTGGCCGGCATGACTAAACACCAAGGCGCACGGAACGCTGTTACCTTCCCACCAAAGTGGTCCCTATTGATCTACTTGCAATTTCTTGCTTTCGAACTGCTAGGTTGGCAGGAGCTGGAACTAGAGACGGGAGCTCACTCCGTCATGCGGCACCCTGGGTCTCGAACTGCTGAACTACTGACCTTCCACAGCCTGCAGTTCAGCGTCTTAACCACTTGAGCCACCGCAGCTCCTGTGTTAGGGAGTATTAAAAAAGGGATTGAGAATAAAACAGCTGATATTGTAAGGCCCCTGTATAGATCCTGATGCGACCTCATTTGGAATACTATTTACATAAGAACATAAGAGAAGCCAGTGTTGGATCAGGCCAATGGCCCATCCAGTCCAACACTCTGTCACACAGTGGCCAAAAATACCCAGAAGCCGTCCATGCTTGTAGCTGCCACCACTTCCTGTGGCAGTGAATTCCAAGTGTTAATCACTCTTTGGGTGAAGAAGTACTTCCTTTTATCCGTTCTAACCCGACCGCTCAGCAATTTCATGGAGTGCCCACGGGTTCTTGTATTGTGAGAAAGGGAGAAAAGTACCTCTTTCTCTACCTGCTCTTTCCCATGCATAATCTTATAAACCTCAATCATGTCACCCCTCAGTCGTCGTTTCTCCAAGCTAAAGAGCCCTAAGCGCCTTAACCTTTCCTCATAGGGAAAGTGTTCCAACCCTTTTATCATTCGAGTTGCTCTTTTCTGCACTTTTTCCAAAGCTATAATATCCTTTTTAAGGTGTGGTGACCAGAATTGCACACAGTATTCCAGATGAGGTCGCACCATTGATTTATATAGCGGCATTATGATATTGGCTGATCTGTTTACAATACCCTTCCTAATAATCCCCAGCATAGCATTGGCCTTCTTTATTGCAGTCACACACTGTCTCGACATTTTCAGTGAGTTATCCACTACAACTCCAAGATCTCTCTCTTGCTCAGTCTCTGCCAGTTCAGACCCCATCAATGTGTATTTATATTTAGGATTTTTGGCTCCAATGTGCATCACCTTGCACTTGGCCACATTGAACCCCATTTGCCATGTTGACGCCCACTCGCCCATCTTTGACAGATCCCTTTGGAGTGCCTCACAATCCTCACTGGTTTTCACCACCCTGAACAACTTCGTATCATCCGCAAATTTAGCCACTTCACTGCTTACTCCCAACTCCAAATCATTAATGAACAAGTTAAAAAGCAGTGGACCAAGTACTGATCCCTGTGGTACCCCACTGCTTACACCCCTCCACTGGGAGAACTGCCCATTTATACTCACTCTCTGTTTTCTATTAATTAGCCAGTTTTTGATCCATAAAAGGACTTGTCCTTTTATCCCATGATTTTTGAGCTTACTTAGGAGCCTTTGATGAGGAACTTTATCAAAAGCTTTCTGGAAGTCAAGGTAAACAATATCTATTGGATCCCCCTTGTCCACATGTTTGTTCACCCCCTCAAAGAACATTAACAGGTTAGTGAGACAAGATCTTCCCTTACAGAACCCATGTTGAGTCTGCCTCAATAGGTTTTGTTCATCTATGTGCCTACTAATTCTTTCCTTAATAATGGTTTCCACCAATTTACCCGGTATCGACGTCAGACTGACTGGCCTGTAATTTCCCGGATCTCCTCTGGAACCCTTTTTAAAGATGGGAGTGACATTAGCTACCTTCCAGTCCTCAGGAATGGAGGCTGATTTTAAGCAGAGATTACATATTTTTGTCAGGAGATCCACAAGTTCACAATTGAGTTCTTTCAGAACTCTCGGATGTATGCCATCTGGGCCTGGTGATTTATCAGTTTTTAAGTTGTCTATCAGTTTTAGGACCTCCTCTCTCGTCACCTCAATCTGACTCAGGTCTTTCAACACCCCTCCCGAACTCAGTGGCTCTGGAGTGGGCAAGCACCTCTCATCTTCCACAGTGAAGACGGAGGCAAAAAATGCATTTAGCTTCTCAGCCATTTCCCTATCATCCTTCAGTACTCCTTTTACCCCTTGGTCATCCAAGGGCCCCACTGCCTCCCTGGCTGGTTTCCTGCTTCTAATGTATTTGAAGAAAGTTTTATTGTTGGTCTTTACATTTTTTGCTATATGCTCCTCATATTCCCTTTTTGCCTGCCTGACCACAGACTTGCATTTTATTTGCCATAGCCTGTGTTCCGTTTTATCAGCCTCACTGTGAGTAGCTTTCCACCGCTTAAAGGAATCCTTTTTAGAACTTGAGGGATCCGCTTTACATGATGGAATAGGGTGAGAAATCTTCCTGTCCAGCAATTAAGATAAGGAAGAAATGGCTGGGGCTGGCCTGTTGCTCATTATCATCATTATTTGTGTCCTTATTCAGACCAGATTATCAGGGAGGGGACTCCATAGGTCCTTGGGGAAAAGGCCCTTTGGTTGAGTTCCACCAGTTACGGCTTTCACATGATTAATAGAGGAGCTGCATGATTAATGGGGAACCAGGCAGGGGATACTTAAGAACAGGCTGGCTGAACGAGGGAAAAGGGTCTTCAACAATTCTCTTCAGTCATCACCTAGATGCCTTAAAAAAAACAACCCACAACTGGTATCCTTTCCACAAACCACAGGGGTACCCTTTAAATTGTGGGGTTAACTTGGTGAAGTCTTGGTTTCTCCTGCCCCTGCAACAAACATATTTGGAAGGGGGGGGGAGTTCTGCCAAAGGAAATGTGCACTCCTTGTGGATAAGGATTTCCTGATTGGTGGCCTGGCTTTGTGCCTGGTGGAGAGATTGGATCTCTTTCTTTATTCCAGCAGCAGATGTAGAGAAGACCCTTGGGGAATTCCAGGAGTTCTCTTTGGAAATAGCCAAGAATGTAGAGGCTGAAGGAAACTTCAGAGATGGACCACACAAGCAGGCAGGAAGCCACTTTTAATGTGTATATTATTGTACATTTCAATGTACAGCAGAAACCAGCCCTTGAAATGCTTAGAGTATAAATGGAATTTCAAGTGCAAATAGACCTCCTTGTGTGGGTGCTAACGGGATCTCTCTTTATTCTAGCAGAAGGTGATCAGAGGAATGAGGAGGATGAGAAACTGCATTGTCTATCACCAGATGAAGTCAAGAAAGAAGACTTGAGAGGAAACTTCAGGAATCAAGGCAGACCCAAGAGGCAGAAAGGAAGCTATATAGTCGAGAAGAGGGATCAACCCGTTCCTTCCCAAGGGAGGGATTTTCGTGAAGTAATTCAAATGGTGGAAGAAACCTACAGTTGCTTGGAGTGTGGCATAAACTTCTCAGATCAAACCCAATATAATATCCATTTGCAAATGCACAATGGAAAGAAGACCCATCAATGCCTGGAGTATGGAGAGAGCTTTCTTTGCAAACCAGAACTCCTTAAACATCAACAAACACATGCAGGAGAGAAACATTATAGCTACTCAAACTGTGGTGAGAGTTTCTCACAGAAATCAGATCTTCTTATACACCAAAGAATTCATTCAGGAGAGAAGCCATTTCACTGTTTAGAGAATGGAATAAAATCCCCTGATGGAAGACAGGGAAGTCTACATTTCCCAAGGAACATGATAACGAAGGCATGTAAATGCTTTCAGTGTGGAAGGTACTTTAAATACAGATCACAACTCCTTGTGCACCAAAGAACTCACACAGGGGAGAAACCTTTTGAATGCTCAGAGTGTGGAAAAAAATTCAGTGTGGTTGGCAGTCTTCAACTGCATCAGAGAATCCACACAGGGGAGAAACCTTTTCAGTGCACTGAGTGTGAAAAGCGATTTCATTATAGTAGCAATTTTCAACGGCATCTAAGAACCCACACAAAGGAGAAACCATTTGAATGCTCAGAGTGTGGAAAAAAATTCAGTGTGGTTGGCAGTCTTCAACTGCATCAGAGAATCCACACAGGGGAGAAACCTTTTGAATGCTCAAAGTGTGGAAAGAGATTCAATAAGAGCAGCCATCTTCAAGAACATCAAAAAACTCACTCAGGGGTGAAACCTCAACAGCACCTTAGAATCCACACAGGGGAGAAACCTTTTGAATGCTCTGAGTGTGGAAAGAGATTCAGTCAAAGACATAGTCTTACAAAGCACTTAAGAATCCACACAGGGGAGAAACCTTTTGAATGCTCTGAGTGTGGAAAGCGATTGTGTGACAGTAGCAATTTTCAACGGCATCTAAGAACCCACACAAAGGAGAAACCATTTGAATGCTCAGAATGTGGAAAGAAATTCAGTCAGAACAGCCATCTGCAACAGCACCTAAGAACCCACACAGGTGAAAAACCTTTTGAATGCTCAGAGTGTGGAAAGAGATTCAGGTTGAGTGGCAGTCTTCAACAGCATCTTAGAACCCACACAGGGGAGAAACCTTTTGAATGTTCCGAGTGTGGAAAGAGATTCAGGTTGAGTGGCAGTCTTCAACAGCATCTTAGAACTCACACAGGGGAGAAACCTTTTGAATGTTCGGAGTGTGGAAAGAGATTCCGGTTGAGTGGCAGTCTTCAACAGCATTTTAGAACCCATACAGGTGAGAAGCCTTTTGAATGTTTAGAGTGTGGAAAGACATTCAGGTCGACTGGCAGTCTTCAACAGCATCTTAGAACCCATACAGGGGAGAAATGTTTTGAATGCTCAGAGTGTCGAAAGAGATTCCGGTTGAGTGGTGATCTTCAAAAGCACCTAAGAATCCACACAGGGGAGAAACCTTTTGAATGCTCAGAGTGTGGAAAGCGATTTTGTTACAGTAGCAATTTCCAGCGGCATCTAAGAACCCACACAAAGGAGAAACCTTTTGAATGCTCAGAGTGTGGAAAGAAATTCAATCAGAGCAGCCATCTTCAAGAACATCAAAGAACACACACAGGGGAGAAACCTTTTGAATGCTCAGAGTGTGGAAAGAGATTCAGGTTGAATAGCCATCTTCACAAGCATTTGAGAACTCACACAGGAAGAAACCTTTTGAGTGCTCACAGTATGGAAAGAGATTCAGTTGGAATGACAATCCTCAGCTGCATCTAAGAACCCACAGAGGTGAGAAAGTTTTGAATGCTCAGAGTCTGGAAACACCTTCAACTGGAGCATCACTTTTCAACAGAATCTGGGAACCCACACCAAGGACAAATCTTTTGAATGCAGAGTGTGAAAAAAAATCTATTCAGAGATGCAGTCTTCAAAAGCATCTACGAATGCATCCATGTGAACTCATTCTAAGTGCTCAGATTGTGGGAACAACATTAAGTTAGCCTGGTCTGATGCACCCCTTCCACTTCTGTCCCTCAGAGACTAGATTTTTCCTCTGTTTTTCTGTCCCTTCACTGACTGAGCAGACCAGGTAACATGTTTTCTTCTCCCCTGAAGAACTCTTGGCTGTCCCACCCTGTCAGAACAATATGTTTTGGCTATTTGCTTAGCGCAGGAACCTGAGGGCAGCAGCTCTCCAAGGCCTCAGGCTGAGGTCTTTCCCATGACCTACTGCTTGGTCCTTCTCACTGGAGATACTGGGGATTGAGCCTGGGGCCTTCTGCGTGCCAAGCAGATGCTCTACCACTGAGCCAGGGCTTGCCACCAGTTCCCTTTTCAGGACTGGGCAGAATGCAACCCCCAAATGTGCTGGTACTCAGGACCTAAGTTCCCTCTAAATTGTGGAGTCTTGTGAGCAAAGACTCCCTCACACACCAGAACCTCCCTCACACACCAGAACCAAAGAATGGCCACTGGAGATCAGTTATCCGTTTGGGATGTGCATGGTGCTGTCCTTTCCCCACGCCTTTATGTAAAGCCCTTAGGCCAATTCATTTGTGATTTTGGGCTTGACTGTCATCCATCTGTAGGTGATGCACAGCTATCTATATATCCTTATCCACATTTCCTGTTGATGCCGAAGAGGTCCTGAATCACTGCCAGGTTGCTGTGGTTAAATGCCTAAGAGTGAACAAACTGAAACGAAATCCTGGAAGGACTGAAGTAATGCTGGTTGGGAAGGTGGAGGTCTTGAAGGACGTTCTGCTCCCCGCTTTCCATGGAGTTCAGCTGACCCTCGCAGCCTCCCTTCAGAGCCTCGGGGTTTTACTGAACCCCACAGGATTACTGGAGAAGCAAGTTAATGCAGTGGCAAAAAAGGCTGTATTCCAGCTCAGCTTAAGCTTTTATACAGCTGGTAGATCAAGATGGGTCACCGTCTGTCTGTAGCAGTAGAAAAGAGCAAGAGTCCAGTTCAGTACCTGTATTTGTATCTGAAGACGTGAGCAGTGACTCACGAAAGCTCATACCCCACCACATATTTTGTGAGTCTTTAAGATGCTACTGGACACTTGCTCTTTTCTACTTTATACAGCTGATCTGGCCACCTGGATCCATGTCGTGATGACATCGAGACTAGGCTACTTAAAATCAATTCAGGACCTCCAGTTGGTGCAGAATGCCGCAATTTGATTATTATCAACGGCTGGATGAAGCATGCATATTACTCCTCTTTTGCAGTCACTCCACTGACTGCCCATCAGTTACTGGGCTCAGTTTAAAGGAGTGGCTATCCCTCATGGCCTTGGAGCCTCATACCTGCAAGACAGTCTCTCCTAGGCTCTACCATGATGGCTTTGCTCATCTGAGCAGGGTCTTCTGCAGGTGCCCCCCTGCAAATGGCCAATATCAACAAGTGCCCATGCGTGTGGCTTCTCCTTCTTGGCCCCCACCTTGTGGAGTGGCGGGCCGGAGGAGATCAAGAAGGCTCCCATTCTCCTGGCGTTCCACAAACTATGGAAAATTGAACTATTCAAGAGGGTAGCACTGTATGAAATGATTCACAAAGTCACTTGGAGAAATTCTTACGGACTGTGGTGTATACTAATGCGTATTTGTTGTTGTTGTTGCCATCAAGTCACAGCTGATTTATGGTGATCCCCGTAGGGCTTTGAAGGCAAGAGACACTAAAAGGTGGTTTGCCATTGCCTTCCTCCGCATCCTGACCCTGGTATTACTTGGAGGTCTCCCATCCAAATATTAGCCAGGGCTGACCCTGTTTAGCTTCCAAGAACTGATGAGATCGGGCCATCCCGATCAGGGTATTAATGTGTATACTTTATTGTAAATAGGATCCTATTATGTTATGTTCGTACTGTTGTAAGTTGTATCCTGCTGTGTAATTTTGCGTCATTTAGTGCTTCATGTTAACATCTATGCTTGCTTTCAGGTTTCTGGTTCTACAACCCAAATTCTGTTCTATAGTTTATTGAACGTACCATATTGAGTCACTCTGTGTCATCTGCCTTGGTTCCTAGTGAGAAAGGCGGACTTTAGTAATGTAAATTTGTTGTTGTTCAGTCGCACAGTCGAGTCCGACTCTTCGCAACCCCATGGACCAGATCACGCCAGGCCCTCCTGTCTTCCGCCATCCTCTGAAGTTTGCTCAATTTCATGTTCGTTGCATCGATGACACTGTCTAACCATCTCATCCTTTGCCGTCCCCGTCTTCTTTGACCTTCAATCTTTCCCAGCATCAGGGTCTTCTCCAGTGAGTGCTCCCTTCTCATTGGGTGGCCAAAGTATTTGAGCTTCAGTTTCATTATCTGGCCTTCCAGGGAACAGTCAGGGTTGATTTATTTTAGGATTGACTGATTTGATCTCCTTTCAGTCCAAGGGACTCTCAAGAGTCTTCTCCAGCACTATAGTTCAAAAGAATCTATTCTTCGACGCTCGGACTTCCTTATAGTCCAACTCTCGCAGCCATACATGACTACTGGGAATACCATTGCTTTGACCATGCGGACTTTTGTTGGCAGGGTGATGTTTTATACATGTTTTAGTTTGTTAGCTGCCTTGGTGGCCCTTGTGGGGGGCAGAAAGGCGAGATCTGAATTTTGTAAATTAAAATAACTTAAATCCTCAGTCATGGCAGTCGTTGGGAGGCCCAGAAAGGATTCCCAGGCGTGATCACATGGGAGGAATCATACAAGCCGATTGGCTGCCCCATATGCAAAGCATTTAGGGCAATGCTTCACGTCCCATCTGCCGTTTTCCTCTTGGTTTGTTGCCTCCTCCTTTTCATCCAGGCAGCCCCTGTACCCTGATCTGGAGAGGCTTGAGCCCCAGCAGCAGCAGCAAATTAGCATAAAACATAACAAATATGTATTAAATTAGCTCCTGCCAACCTAGCAGTTCGAAAGCAAGAAACTGCAAGTAGATAAATAGGTACCACTTTGGTGGGAAGGTAACAGTGTTCCGTGTGCCTTGGTGTTTAGTCATGCCAGCCACATGACCACAGAAACATCTTCGGACAGCGCTGGCTCTTCGGCTTTGAACCGGAGATGAGCACCGCAACCCTAGAGTCGGATTCGACTGGCTTTCGAGCAAGGGAACCTTTACCTTTACCTTAATGATGAAGATGTAAACATCTAGTTCATTATGTACAGAACCTGACTTTTTCCAGGAATCATTATAGAAGATTTTAGTGATCTGATTAAGTGTCACAACTTTAGTAAATATATAAACAAAAGAGATCTGGAAACAAGATGGAAAATCTGTAACGGCTATTATATAAACTATATGGAACTTCCCTTTATGTCTTATACTGTCCCTTGTACCCTTCCTGCCCTTTGTTGTTGTTCAGTCGCACAGTCGAGTCCGACTCTTCGCGACCCCATGGACCAGCTCCCACCAGGCCCTCCTGTCTTCCGCCGTCCTCTGAAGTTGGCTCAATTTCATGTTCGTTGCATCTATGACCCTGTCTAACCATCTCATCCTTTGCCGTCGTTGTCTTCTAAGCAAAAAACAAGATGTGTTCATTATGTTTTATGCTAATTTGCTGCTAACCCTCTAGCTATATGTATGGACTGGTGTCTTTCATTTCAGTGTTATCTGAAGAAAGGTGCACGCGCACAAAAGCTCATTCCTTGAACAAAACTTTGTTGGTCTTAAAGATGCCCCTGGACTCGAACTTTGTTTACTGCTTCAGACCAACAGGGCTACCCCACCTGAATCGATCACATTCTCGCTATATCTGAAGAAATGAGCCGTGACTCACGAAAGCTCATACCCTGCCACAAATTTTGTTAGTCTTTAAGGTGCAACTGGAATATTATTCTTTCTTAAAGTTCTGCAAAACCAGACAGTTCAAATGAGGATTCTTAACTCTCCTTAAAGTGGCACAGCCTTTTGTAACACAGTTAGGCCTATGGGCTACGAAAGTAGATCAGACAACATCAGTCAAGAAATTGTTATTTAATGTGTTAATAAAGAAGCACATATATTACTATATCATGAATCTGGGTTTTTAAAAATATTTTGAAAACTGAATTTCAACATAATTGGTTTCCTTCGTAATCCTCTGTATTTTATTTGATGCTTTTAAAGACATCATTCTGAGAAGGGCTCCGTAGGCTTTGCCAGGCTGCCAAAGGGGTACATGGCACAAGAAAGGTTAAGAACCCCTGTGGGAGAGGAGAATCCCTGCTTTGGAAGGAGAAAAGCAGCTGGCAGGAAAACCGGGCAAGAGGAGCAGGAGAGAGAGAGAGGGAGGCCTTTCCTACCCACACGCACCTGGGCCGGGGGGCTGCTGCTTTTTCCATGTGGGAGCATCTTGTTGCCATGCAAGCCTATCAATGTGTTTTTATGAACTCTATGGACTGTGCAAAGGGACTGTACAACATGGAGACCTGGGAATACCTGTTGAGACTGCACACCTGAAAGAGGGACACCTTCCTTTAACGTTGCTGCTCCAGAAGTATTCCAGAGTCACCAGCCATCTTGCCTGCTGTGAGATGAAGCAGTTCCATAAGCCTGCACAAAGCCTCAGATGCCATGCCACAGAGAACATGAGGACAGAGCACTCCAGACGCCATTAGGAGTTTCTTCCAGCACATGTAGGCAACCCCTTTCCCCCCTCTTCCAGCTACCTACAAATCTAATCAAGAGACTCTATTCATGGTTGCTTAGCAACTAATTGCTAATCAAGAGACAATAGCCCTAGCCTGATGATTCAATCACTCTTCATCCAGGTCCCAGTCCCCAGACCAAGTTACTAGCTCTCAATATTAACCACTCCTTAGTCCCTCTCCCCTCTTCCAGCCAGCCAATAGTATGTTTTATGGGACGGACTAACAGGAGGTGTCACAGGGAGATGTGGCCAGCTCAGCCTGCCCCCCCCATTATGAAAGATGCTGACTGACCACATGGTCTCTCTCTCTCTCCATGACCCCTATCGAAGTTTTAACCATCTTATGTCCAGCTTGCTATCCATATACCCTACCTCCATCTTTAAAGTCTAGTCTGCAGCTAGAGTCCACATGGTTCTGCCGGTTCAGAGCACGTGTTCCCCATATTCTATTTCTAACCCCTCCATTTTTCCATTGGAACGGCTCAATCAAGGAGGACAGGTATATATCACCCAGCCAACGACTATCCTGCTCTTGCAAACATGATAATTATCTATCTCAGGGGTCGTTTTGTAGAAAAAGAGCTAGGGGAACTCATTAGCATATGCCACACCCCCTGATATCACCGGAAGTGTGTCATAAGGCCACACCCCCTGACATCACCAGAAGTGTGTCATAAGGACGGGGAGAGTCAGGGAGGAAGCAACTTACCCTCCCTCTTCTCCTGCCTCCTCCTGGCTGAATGAGGGCTGGAAGCGGGGTGGCCGGAAGCAGGGGGCGAGGCTTCGTCATGTGCCCCGCCCCCGTACCTCACCCGGGGGAACTGCGATCCCCCCCGAAATGACCTCTGTCTATCTTTACTTCTTAGTATAAGTATAATTGTGTGTTTGTGTATTGTTGAGACATCTCTACCAGTAAAAGAAATTATATTTCACCAATCATAGTCTCTGTATCTGTTCTGGTACTTACAGTAAAGGCGGGACTTCTGTATAAATTGGTGTGAACCCTAATTTGCCTATTGCCAATGGATAATCATAACTTCCCCTAGATTAATAGAGAATGTAAAGCAATTTGGCTAGCAATCTGAAACAGCAGCATTTTCTTAGATGGCGCTTGGAGGGGATTTGAACAAGGGACCCCCTCAAAGCAAAGGCATGAAGGGTTGCAGTGGTTTAAGGTGTGAATCAGAGAGGGTTGCCAACTTCAAAGTGGAGCCTTCGAGGTCTCCCAGAATTAGAACTGATCTCCAGGCAACGGAGATGAGTTCCCCTGGAGAAAATGGCTACTGTGCTGCCCCCAGCCAGCGTTTGAGACTGTAGTTAAGTAGAATTGCCATATATCTTTAAGAGCAGTGGTTCCTGGGAATTGAAGTCTTTAGTTAGACATCCCACAGCATCCGGCACCTACCTTTCGGGGCATTATAACCAGCAGAGGCCCCACTCCTCCCCAAAACCCTCCTTCCCTAGGCTCCCCCCCCCCAATCTTCCCAATCAGGAGCTGGCGACCCTAGGTGGCTGGCCGGAGATGTTGCAAGCAAAAGGAGGAGGGGGTAAAGAAAATCCATTTGGGTGTAGGGTTGCCAAGACCTTCCTGGCAAATGAGGAGGGCTAACCAGTAGAAAGAAGGCCCACTATTGCACAGGAAGTGACATCATGCCAATGACTTCTGGGAGATGCTCTGGTATTTTTGGCAGAAACTTTATGGTAAAACTGGCTTCTCTCAGAGTTTTTGCACAAATACGAGTGTCGCCTGGAAGTCGCTGCTGCGATGAAGTCACTTCCTGTACGATGCTGGCAATGAGGCCTAGGTCTTATCTCTACTGGTATGTCCCCCCACAGGCCAGCTGATCAGCGACTGGGATTTTTGGGACCTCTGCCTCCACCAGGGTTATGACAACCCTATTTGGGGGTGAGGTGGTCACATGTAGCTTTACTGGGTCCTTGGAAGGCGAAGCTGCCAGTTCCCAAGCTGCTAGTCCTCAGTGAGGATGTTTGCCAGAAGGAGCGGCTCTTTAGTGAATCCTCCATGTGGGAGCACCTGGTCCTAAAACGGATTCTGTCTTCACACACACACACTTTCAATGGCACCACAAGGATTATCCTGTTGCTTTGAAAGTATGTTTTATTTATTTACTTAGGACTTAAAAATCCCATCCCCCCGCCAAAGAGCTCAGAGGGACATATCTTAGTCTCCTCTCCTGACACCCACAAGCTTCATAGCACAGTCAGGGATTTGAAAGTGGCTCTCCTGGGATCCTGTCCCAGCCCTCTGAGCACTCCTCCACACCGGCCACCCAAGAAAAGGCTCCTGAAATGCTCACTGGTTCAGAAAATTTAACCTCCACCCCAAGCTGATTATAGAAGAGTGGATAAAGTAGGCTTAGGAGAGAAAACCACACAGAAGGGTGGAAGAGGATCCTGAGCAGAAGGAGGGATTCAAAAGCTCTTGATTTCTGCAGGGCTGGCTCGCTCACTAGGCGAACTAGGCATTCGCCTAGAGCGTGCCGGCCCTTAGGGGCGCTAAACTGCACGCGGCGGCGGCAGCTGGGGGATGGTTGCCTCTAAAGAGAATTTTTTGAAGGCAGGGGAGGAATCCCTTCCCCGCCTCCTGCTGCACCCTCTGCCCTTTCTCCCAGTCTGGAGTGTCATCATGGAACTTCTTTGTGGGCTCATGGAGAGGCATGCAGCGGCGGGGGGGGGGGGAGACACAAGGTGAGGGGGGCGCCACAAGGCAGCCTCGCGGGGGGGGGGTAGTTTTGCCTAGGGCACCAAAAACCTCGGGCTGGCCCTGGATTTCTGTTGGGTAATGAGTGCAAATCAGAATGGAGCTTGGTGCTGATTGGATGAAATGGAGATTCCCAGATAACCCTTGGAAGCAAAATGGCCTTTGGAAAAGGGGAGGGGGACAGAAGAGGGTGGATTTCCCTGAAGATGGCCTGAATAAAATGGATGCCCAAGGGAAGTCAGAGTACTAGGCTAGAAGTAGAGGATAAAAGTTGTCAGAAGCAGGGCAGGTTGCATTTGGCCTCTGTTCATGTCTTTTAAAGAACAAAAAAAGCCTATCTTGGTACAGTGTTAAGATTCAGAAGTATAACCAGGGCAGTTCTGTACAGACACATAACAGACTGCTCCACACTGTGCTAAATTACCCCCTTAACAAATAATTTGTTCCTCTATTGGAAAATTTATGGCGCCTGGGTGTGATTGTGTTTGTGTGTCTGCCCTCACTTATAAAGGAGAAACTTGGATCATGCTTCCCAAGGTACCAGTCAAAGCAGGCGGGATTTGCTGAACTGGGAGTATTTTGAACCAGTTGGATTCCCAAGGGTTCCCTGGCTTCCGTGGAGGTTTGGGGAGGGAGAGTGATTTTTAATGTGGAAAAGTTTCTTAAAACGCCAGCAGTAGAGCCTCTGGATAGAGACAGGCTGCTCCAGGGCAGACGCACCTCTTGCTGTTGGCCTGGTGGGGGCAGCAGAGAGCCACAGATGTGCTGGGAAAGGGTGGACTCAGGCGAACAGGGGACTCCGGTGGGGAGACGCCTTGGTCTGATGCAGCAGAACAAAGCCTGAGACCAGTGGCACCTTTAAGACCAACAAAATGTGCTGGTGCTCGGGATCAGGGCCCCCCACACACAAAGCCCTGCCTAAAGCTTCTTTGAAGTAGAAACACTGAGGTCAGGGGTACACCTTCCTTAGACCATCACCCCTCACCTGAAAGTCCTTTGTGCAGTGCGGTAAATAGGGACCCCTTTGGTGGGAAGGTAACAGTGTTCCGTGCGCCTTGGTGTTTAGTCATGCCGGCCACATGACCACAGAAATGTCTTCGGACAGCGCTGGCTCTTCGGCTTTGAAACGGAGATGAGCACCGCAACCCTAGAGTCAGATTCAACTGGATTTCGAGCAAGGTAACCTTTACCTTTTTAAAGCTTCCTAGGGAAGAGAAAGGGACCAAATATCTAGGAATTTCCCAAGCAGGAGGTGGCAACCCTCTCCGACAGGGAAGACTGAAAACAGGACACCTCCCAGGCAGGAAATGGGGCGGGCTCAACAGTGGGCTGGTTTGAGAAAGAGGGAAGAGGGTACAGGAAGAGGCATGTTCTGTGCAATCCTAAAACCGCTCTTCTGGTGGGATGTATTTAAAGGAATGACAGGACTGACCACTGGAAACAATGTGAGAGGCTTGAAGGCCCATTGGAAATCATGGGAGCCAGAAATGCCAACTGACTTGCATGGGCTCCATTTAAATACATTACAGCACAAGAAGAGTTGCAAGGAAAATGTGAAATGGATTTTCCATTAAGGTCTCTGAACCCAGATAGACTACTGTGGGACTGGAATGACAGCCTCTGGGAGTAGCAGAAGCATTTTGGGACTGGAATGGCAGGCCCCGGATTCCTGGAATGGAATGACAGTGCCTGGGGGTAGCAGATATGTTCTGGTACTGGGGAATACTTCCCTCCTTCAGTTTTTTATTGAACCCATGACAACCACTAAGTAACATTGGGAATATTCATTGAAAATTAACATTCATGTCCCCCTTATTATTTTTATGGAGGAAGAAAATTTTTCCAATGTTCTAAAAATCTTGTGAGAAAAATTTAATTGACCATTGTTTGGGAAATACAGTGATGCAAGGGGAGCTATTTGGGAAGCTCCAAGTCCACAAAAATAAATCTACCCTTAGGGTCCCTCAAAATCCTTTTGGGTTAAAAATCAATCTCTGAACGCACTAGAATCGCAACCCCTTGGCTTTTTATGAATGCAGGTGCTACAAATTTATAAAAATAAATGTACTACCAAAACTAAATTTTCTATTTCAGATGTTACCAATTTATGTACAAGAAAAAATTATGAAGGAATGGGAGAAACAGATAAATACGTTTATATGGAATACTAAAAAACAAGAATTAGACTTAAAGTACTCAAGATGGGGAAAAAGAGGAGGGCTAGCAGTACCCAACATCAAACTACATTATCAAGTAGCCATCTTAGTCTGGATTGTGAATTGGATTAAAAACCCAGAGGAAAGATTAGTAATATTAGAAACAGCAGATCTGGATGAAGGGTTACAGAATTGCCTGCAGTCTTTAAATTTTTTTAAAAATACTACGCAAAATAGAAGACAAGTAATTAAAGATAGTTTATTTATAATATGGGAAATTAAACAAAAAAGAATTAGCCCTCCAATATCCCTTTTAATGTCACCCATAGAGGCAGATTATGACAAGTATATTAGAAAAATAATGTTTATATAACATACGGAGACATGATAAACTCTCAAGAAGAAGTTAAGTCTTGGCAAAAGCTACAAGATGAAGGGGGGAAGAAGGGGGGAGTACAATGGTTATTATATTTTCAAGTAGTCTCAAGATTTATATTCACTTATCAAGAGGTGTAATAAGGGAGATGACTGAATTTGAAAAGGTGATTACACGGCAAAAAGAACATTAGGATGAATCCACAAGCTATTACTTCAATTTGATACAGAAACAGAACAAGTAAAAATATGTACGATAAGACGGATGCAAAATTTTGAGGAAGAGATATCTTTTCAACAATGGGAACTCCTATGAACAAAATATATAAAATTTGCAGCTACTCAAGCATTAAGATAAAACTGGTACAAGATGTTCTATCGGTGGCACATTACTCCAAAGAATATCAAGAAGATGGACAAGAACTACAAAGGGATATGTTGGAGGTGTAAAGAAGTGGATGGCATCTTTTACCATATGTGGGGTTGTGTAAAAAGACCCCCCAAAAAAGGGAAAGAAACACATGCTGAAATCCAGAAAAAATTAAAAATTAAATTTACCATGAAAGCCCAGAACATGATTTTGGGTATTTTACCAGAGAACATCCAAAAAATCTTGGAAGTGTTATTTAGAATTATATCAGCGGCCAGAATTACATTTGCAATGAAACAGAAAGCAGAAGGGTGCCCAAGCCAAGATTACTGGAAAGTTAAGTTAGCCGAGTACGCGTGCAGTATGGCAAAATTAATGAACTATGTAAATAGGAGGCCAATTAAAGAATTTTAAGATAAATGGAAAGCTTATTACTCATATTCTACCTAATAACTGGGGAGGAGAGAAGTCATTGAAATGATATATATAAATTATTAATATTTTATCTGATACATAATGTATTGGAAAAGAGTAAAAAGAGGGGGGGGTAATACTTTTGGAGCAACATCCGAGCATTCAAAGAAGAGCCTCATCACAACCCAGGAAAGGTTTGCCCTTGTGTGGATTATCTGAAAAACAGGAAGGCTGGATCTCTTGCTACACAGTGAGTATTTATGAGGATCCTCCCCTGTGTGGATTCCTTGATGGTTAAGGAGATAACGGCCTGGTCTTGAATCTCCTTCCACCCTCAGAACACATCCTTTCTTTCTTCCTCAGTCCAATGATTTCTATCATTTTTTCCAAGTTAGGATAAGGATTCTGGGCAGATACAAGGTCTTTAAAAGAGTTTACATGGTTTCAACCCTTTCTATGGTCTGTGGTTGTCTTTTACGTGAGAAATAAGAGAAGAGCTCTCGTCACAAGCCATGCAGATATATGATTTCTCATTGTGTGGGTACTTTGCGACTGTTGGAGATGGCCAGACTAACTGAGCACACACTGAGCAGTCAAAAGGATTATCCTCTGTGCGAGTTCATAGATGCTTTTGAAGATCACAGATGTGATCAGTTTTCTTTCACACTCTGTGCACTGAAAAGATTTTTATTGCTATGGCTTCATAGATGCTGTTGAAAAGTGATGTTCCAGTTGAAGGCCTTTCCAGACTCTGAGATTTCAAGAGCTTCTCCTTTGTGTCAGTTCTCAAATGCTTCAGAAGATTGTCATTCTGACTGAATCTCTTTCACACTGTAAGCACTCAAAAGGTTTCTTCTGTGTGTGAGATTTTAAATGCTCATGAAGATGGCTGCTAACTGAATCTCTTTCTACACTATGATTACTCAAGAGGTTTCTCCTTTCTGTGAGTTCTTAAATGCTTGTGAAGATGGCTGCTCTGACTGAATCTCTTACCACACTCTGAACATTCAAAGGGTTTCTCCCCTGTGTGGGTTCTTTGATGCAGTTGAAGAGTGCCATTCTGACTGAATCTCTTTCCACACTCTGAGCATTCAAATGGTTTCTCATTTGTGTGGGTTCTTAGATGACGTTGAAGACTGCTACTGTCATACAATCTCTTTCCACATTCTGAACATTCAAAAGGTTTCTCCCCTGTGTGGGTTCTTTGATGCACTAGAAGATGGTTACTCTCACTGAATCTCTTTCCACACTCTGAACACTGAAAAGGTTTCTCCCCTGTGTGAGTTCTTAAATGCTTCTGAAGATGGCCACGCTGACTGAATCTCTTTCCACATTCTGAGCATTCAAAAGGTTTCTCCCCTGTGTGGGTTCTTTGATGCAGTTGAAGAGTGCCATTCTGACTGAATCTCTTTCCGCATTCTGAGCATTCAAAAGGTTTCTCCCCTGTGTGGGTTCCTTGATGCAGTAGGAGGTCGCCACGCAGACTGAATCTCTTTCCACACTCTGAGCACTCAAAATGTTTCTCCCCTATATGAGTTCTTAAATGCTGCTGAAGATGGCCACTCCGGCTGAATCTCTTTCCACATTCTGAGCATTCAAAAGGTTTCTCCCCTGTGTGGGTTCTTTGATGCACCAGGAGATGGCCACTCTGACTGAATCGCTTTCCACACACTGAGCATTCAAATGGTTTTTCACCAGTGTGGGTTCTCAGATGGATTTGAAGAACACAACTCTGACTATATTTCTTCCCACACTCTGAGCATTCATACGGTTTTTCCCCTGTGTGGGTTCTTTGGTGCAGTTGAAGAGTTCCACTCCAACTGAATTTCTTTCCACACTCTGAACATTCAAAAGGTTTTTCTCCTCTATGGGTTCCTTTATGACGCTGAAGACTGTCAGCCCCATTGAATCTCTTCCCACACTCTGAGCACTCAAAAGGTTTCTCATTTATGTGGGTTCTTTGATGTTTTTGAAGACTGACAAGATGACTGAATTTCTTTCCACACTCCAAGCATTCAAAAGGCTTCTCCCCTGTGTGGGTTCTTAGGTGCCGTAGAAAATTGCTCCTGTCACACAATCGCTTCCCACACTCAGAACATTCAAAAGGTTTCTCCCCTGTGTGGATTCTTTGGTGCTTTGTAATACTATGTCTGTGACGGAAACTCTTCCCACACTCTGAGCATTCAAAAGATTTCTCCCCTGTGTGGTTTCTTTGATGTTGCTGAAGACTTCCAAGGTCGGATTTCTCTGAGAAACTCTTACCACAGTTTGAGAAACTATGATGTTTCTCTCCTGCATGTGTCTGTTGATGTTTCAGGACCTCTGCTCTGCAAAGGAAGCTTTTTCCACACTCCAAGCCTTGATGGGTCTTCTTTCCACTCTGCATTTGCAAATGGACATTATATTGGCTTTCATCTGAGAAGATAGTTCCACACTTCAAGCACTTGTACATTTTCTCCACCATGTGAATTGCTTCACAGAAATCCACCCCTTGGAAAGGAATGGGTTGATCCCTCTTCTCCACTATGTGGCTTCCTTTCTGCCTCTTGGGTCTGCCTTGAGTTCCTCTCAAATCTTCATTCTTGACTTCATCTGGCAAAAGATGATGTAATTCCTCATCCTCCTCATTTCCACAATCATCCCCTGTTGGTAAAAAAGAAATCCCGTTAGCACCCACAGAAGGAGGTCTGATTTGCACTTGAAATTCCATCCACGCTCAAAGTGTTTCAGGGCCTTGTTCCTGTTGTATATTGAAATATACAAAAATATACACGTTAAAAGTGGCTTCCCGTCTGCCTGTGTGATCCACCTCCATCTCTGAAGTTTCCGTCAGCCTCTTCATTCTTGGCTTTTTTCAAAGAGAACCCCTGGAATTCCCCAAGTGTCTCCTCTACATCTGCTGCTTGAATACAGAAAGAGGTCCAATCAGCACCTATGCAAGAAGCCAAGCCACCAATCAGGCACTCTTCATTCACAAGTGTTCATTTCCTTTGGCAGAACTTCTTTCCCTGTTTGCTGCAGGTCAAGGAGATGCTAGGACCTCACCAAATGAACCCCACATTTCAAGGGACACCCCCCCCCCATGGTTTTTGGAAGAGAGATCAGTTGTTGTGGGGGGCGGATAAGGCATCTAGGTGACAAATGAAGGGAATAGTTAATGACCCGTTTGCCTCATTCAGCCTGACTGTTCTTAAGTAGTCTCTCTTACATTTCTGGCTTCTTTGGCAGAGAGAGACAGATATCCAAGGAAGAGGAAAAATTCTTCTGGAAAGATGGAAACATGGTCAAGATCAAAGCCCACAATCCGAAGCAGTTTAAGGGAGACAAATCCATACCAAATCACAGTCAAATTGGAAAGCCTTAAGCCCATTTTTGCGGGAAGGGTATGTTGTAAAGGTTGGCAACTGAGATATCAGGATCTGACCTGATGCCATGGAACTCTTGCTCAATGGGGACATCATTTTTGATCCCTGTACACTTGCACATCTTAGCATGGGCCTAGCAATGAAAAATGTAGTCTGGATCTGTAGGTTGTTATCAAACAGATATCACAATGACCAGTGAGTCACCGTGAGAGCACGGAAGGGATGTGAACCAACTCCTCCACTAATCATGCGAAAGCCATATCTGAGGGGAGTCGACCAAAGGGCCTTTCTCCCAAGGACCTAAGGGGTCCCCTCCCTGACCATCTGGCCTGAATCACAACCCAAGTAATCAAGACAATAAGCAATGGGCCAGCCCCCTCCATTTCTTTTTTATCTTAAGTGCTGGACAGGAAGATTTCTCCCCCTACTCTGTCTTGTAAACTCAGCTGTCTACTTGCCTATCTAAACTCTCAGTCTCCCTAAAGGAACACTTCTCCTTGAGACTTTTACGTGTAATGCAAAAGAAGAAAAATTCCCCTCCACAATGCACACCAAAAAAACAACAACAACACATTTTCAAATTACCTCATCTCTAGAGAGATGGACTTTTTATCACTCCCACATTCCAGTGTCAACGCCTTCTCTCCTCCTTCATCTCAACAGAAATGTATAAAAAGTGATCCCTCAGTCCATCCAATTTCTAGCAGGTTTTGAATCCCCGGCCTGTTACCCCAACTGTATGGTTGGCTTCTCTACTTTTCCATCCTGTTCTGCTGTGCTTCTCTAAAGCTGCCCAGCTGTCTTCATGAAGAAAGCTTATATGTCTTTGGTTCTTCCCTTTTAGTTTCTCTCTTTATAGCAGGAAGCTTGCGAGGGAAAGGGTTTAAACTGTGTTTGTACTTCACATGTGAATTTATTTCCTTTCTGTAGCGCCTCTATTTTTATTTATCTGACCTAACCTGGTTCTCCTTCTGTATCTTGACCCTAGCAGACACAAGTTTACGATGTCGGGAATTAATATTCCACAATACATGTATTTTCTCTTTGCTAGTGGAAGGATATTTTTGCTAGCTACAGGGGTGCATGGGTGACCTGGGTAACAGGCTCCTTTCTGAGGGCCTCTCAGCCGCTGCTTGGTTCAGGGCCGGAACACCCTCCCTGGCATGGGGGATGGACAGAACACTGGCTTCAGGCGGGTGGGTCGCTCTCCCAGACAATGCTCAGTGTCACTTTCACTGACAACCTGACTCCTCAAGAAGAAGAAGAGATTGGATTTATACCCCGCCCTTCGCTTGGAGTCTCTGAGCGGCTTACAAACTCCTTTCCCTTCCCCTCCCCACAACAGACACCCTGTGAGGTGGGTGGGGCTGAGAGAACTCTGACACAGACTGCTCTTTCAGGAACAGCTGTGCCAGATTGACTTCCGGTACGGCGTTGAGTCGGGCGGACGCGTCGCGTCTCGCCGCTGCCTCCGTGGCTCCTAGGAGCCCCCCGGGTGCTCCGGGTGGGCTTCTCCCGACCCCCCTGGAGGGAGGGTTGGCAGCAGAGGGCTTGTGGCGGCCCCACCCCGATTTCGGCAAACGGGGGGGTGTCCGTCAGCGCCCTGAAGCGGGATCGCGGAATGGCGGAGGCACGGTTCTCCGTGCTTCCTCAATCAACGGCCATCCGGACTTTTAATGTGTTAGACTTTCTTTTCGTTTTTTGAGCACTACTCCCATATCACATGGTGGACACTCTTTGAGAAGCAATATATAGAAAATGCAACTCTACCTCTTCTTTTGGGACTCTCCCTATTGTGATAAGAAAACGGCCGGAGTAGGTACAGGGAAATTGAGTGACAAAAAGTTGTGGAGGTAAGAGACAAAAATCGCTACTGGAAAAAATACCTTGTACTTGGCAATATCGTTAAAAATAACAGAACTGATAGCTATAGAAGCGTTCGCATAGTATTTACTATAAAGCAATATCTCCGTGGAACAGTAAAACTCAGTAAGAAAATGGCGGCGGCGTCTATTTGTGAGGAAGTAATTTTGAATTTCAAAGCGGAACTCAGGTCGGAGTGGTTTCAAGAAAGTCTGAGACAAGAAATAGACAAAGTAATGCAGCCGGTCTGGAATAAGTTTTTTGCAAATTCTCAGCCTCTCTCTAAAGCGGACAATGATTTTGAAGAGCCAACTCAAGGGATACAAATTCAAATCGGAGTACATGAGATGACGCAGACTGAAGAACAGCGAGAATCACAACCTAAGCTGCTACATTTACAGTCAGAGGCAGGGATAAAAGAACCGGCTCTGACAAAAGGGATTTTGGAAACTGCGGAAAGGGAAAAAAGAAAATGGACAAAAAAAAAACGAGGGCTCAAGACTGTCTGGAAAGGAAAAAAGACAAGAAAAAGGTGCAAAAATAAAAAGAAATCCGGGATTAATAACCAAATGAATGAGGACACAAATACATTTGCAAGAGACAATTTAGTGATCATGTTAAAGGAGTATAAAAACGCACGACATCTGCGGGAAAATGCTGAAAATGTACTTAAAAAGGACTTATTTGATACCCATAACAAACAGGAACCACAGGGAAAAGGTATGGGGCCAACGGTAGATAGGATTGGTGTTAATATAGATAGCAGAAATAGCTGGGTGAAGCGAACTGTATGAGGAACTGTGTGTAAAGCGAATTAAATAAGAAATGGTAGCATTTGGGATTTATTGCATTGGACTGGCTATAAAAGTAACTAAAAATGAGTTTGCAAGGGGGAAAG